GCCTATGAAGCGGTATATAAGTCTACTGCTATTGCTATTGCTATTTTTTCCCCAGTGCTGTTGTAACTTCAAACGGTCACTAAGTCTAGGGCCACCTGTAGCTGCCCCATCGTCCCTTCTGATGCCCCCCTCTGGTTGCGGCTGCCCGCCAGCAGATGCAGTGCCTGAAGCTGAAGCGTGCACATGTTGCACGTGAGAACGCCCCAAAATAACAGAATAACAGAGTTGGAATGGACCTTGTAGGTCATCTAGTCCAACCCCGCCCAAGCAGGAGACTTGGCAAAGCGGGTATTGCAATGAGGGATGGGGCTTATTGGCACAGGCTCCTTATTTATCCCGCAAATTAATTTCCTGCTAATTATAAATATTCAATAACAAATAGAAAATGAATATATATCTCCACGACTGCAGAGCAAGCTCCTGAGCGCCCCCTGGCGCCTGCGCAATGGAATCGCCGGCGACTTCTTTTTTTTTAACCCTCAACCCGGGTATGCGCGCGCAGCAAAAGAGGCCCCGCCTCTTTTCCCTTCCGGCCCTCGGCTCTTTTTTTCCCCCCACACGGCGCCTGCGCGGGATTCTCTGTCGAACGAGGTAAACTCAGGCCGTTAAGGGGCCGGAAGTGCGTGAGGCCACCTGACCGGAAGTGGTCCTGCGGTAGGAGAAAGAGGGGAGCCTCGCCGAGCGACCGTGGCAGAAAGGGAAAAAGACGGGTAGGCCGCGGTGAGTGTGGGACGGGGAAGAAGGGGTGGTCGTGTTTTCAAACCAAGAGGGGTAAAGGGGCGAAGCGGTCCGGTTCGTCGTCCCCCCCGCCCCGCCCACGTCCCTCAGAGGGCGAAAGGTTGACGCATTCGCGAAGCCCCGCCCTTGCACCTCTTACGTCACAGCCCCGGCCCGCGTGGCCCCGCCCCCGCTTGGTGGTCTCTGGAGGGGAAGGCTGCTCTGCCTAGCTGTGACGTCACTGCCCGGGAATTGCGCAATCGCCCGGTAGGATCGACTGGGTGGGGGGAGGTTCCTGGGGGGGCTTCCTCCTCCTGCTCCAGGACTCAAAGTGGGGGGGGCTCCTGTCTCCCCTACCCCCCCCTTTTCTCAGGTGCACCTGCTGTCAGCTCAGATTGATGGAGACTGATAATAGTGATGGGCGGGATCCTCTTTGGAAAGGGGAGGGGCATGGGGCGGAGCCTGGGTTAAGTGCCAAGACTATTTTGCCCTAGAGGTCTTTCCCCTCCGCCCACCTTGATAGCCTCAGGGGTTCCTCCCAGGGGTTCCTGAACCCCCAACTACAGGTAAGTCCTCGACTTACGACTTACAGGTAAAACAGAACTGGAAGGGACCGTGTGGGTCATCTAGCCATACCCCCAAGCAGGAGACCCTACACCATTTCTGACAGAGGGCACTCCAATCTCTTCTTGAAAGCCTCCAGTGGTGAAGCTCCCACAACCTTTGAAGGCAGGGCACTCCACTGAATAACAGAGTTGTAAAATGGGGCAAAATTCACTTAACAAATGTCTCAAGCAACAGAAATTCTAGATAGACATAGATGGATAGATGATAGATAGATAGATGATAGATAGATAGATAGATAGATAGATAGATAGATAGATAGATAGATAGATAGATAGATAGATAGATAGATAGA